GGATCCAATGCTCTAGCACCAGCTCAAGCTTCCTCAAGCTCCCAGGATCCTGAACTCAAGAGTATGATGTAGCAAGTGCTTCAGAATCAGGTCAACACCACCCTGGATATGAACAAGAAGTTTGCTGAAGTTTATAATAAAATTGATTCATTTCATGTGGAGTTGACCAACAAATTTGATGGGTTAGCAGCAAGGGTAAAGACTCTAGAGAACAACAAAGGAATAGCAACATCAACATGTCCTCAAGGCACTCGTCCTGGCAAATGTGAGAACAATCCAAAGGAGTACTGCCAAGCTCTTGAGTCTGCAGTTGCCTTTACTCCTCTTGAAGAAGAGGTTATCATTGAAGACTTCCTTTCCTTAATAAATGAGGATATTGACATTCAGTGTGGGGGAGAGAAGCTTATTGAAGCTTATGCCACTAAGGAGAACTCTCTTGAAGAAGGAGCCAACAAGGAAGAAGAGAAGTGGGCGCCACTTGAAGTTGCCGATGCTAAAATAGAAGACTTTGTTAAAGTCTCTGATGCTAAGAGGGAAACTCCAGCTGCTGTTTCCCCTATCTACCAGCCTGATATCCCATTCCTTGGAAGATTTAAGGAGAAGCTAGTCAAGAAGTATAAAACCCTCTATGCTGCTCAAATGGAAATGAGAGGTTTAAATGCTGAAGAGGAGCTTGGGAAACTGAGAGCTAAGGCTAAAGCTTTAGAAGCCAAGGAGCTAGACATCAAGAAGCTTGGAGATCCAAGTTGCTTCACTCTCCCATGTGAGCTTAAGGGCAAGACCTTCAAGAGCTGTTTGTGTGATCTAGGAGCAAGCATAAATCTGTTACCAGCTTCTACTACTAAGGAGTTAGGCTACACTAAGTTCCAGCAAAGCAATGTCTCTCTTACCATTGCTGATGGGACTGTGAAGATGCCTTTAGGAGCTCTCAAGGATGTTCCTATGAAGATCGAAGGAGTGAATATCCCTACTGACTTCTTGGTGATGGATGTTGAAGGGCATATTAAGAATACCATCATACTTGGACGGCCATTTCTAGCTTCAGCTGGCGCCATATTTGATGCTAGGGAATGCACAACTAAGCTGAGACTTACTAAAGATAAGGTCTTGAGGTTTGACCGCAAGGGCAACAAGCTGGAGCATGATCATGCTTTCTCTATGGATCTTAACAATGTGAAAGGAGTTAACAAAAATTGGCCAGAGTTTAAGGGCTACCAAGGAGAGAGTTTTGATGGCTGCTGTCTTCCAAATCTGTTTGAAGACACCACTGAAAAGGAGGTCCTTGAAGTGGTTAGTTACAAGAATTTGCATGAAATCAAGTTGGTTACTAAAGGAGGAGAGGTGGTTTTGCAATGATGTGACTCAAAATTGGGTGAGGTTTGCTTCAAGATGCAGCAAGAGGGGAAGACTATGCCTTTTGCTAAGATCAACCTGAATGGATTCACCACCAAAGTCAAGGGAAGCAGGACAACACCAAGGAGTTCCAAATACTACTGCAAAGAAAAAACATATAGTTATACTAGTGTTACCAAATACTACTTTTTATTTTCTAATCTCAAATCAAAGTGTTACCTTCTCCTCTTCATCTGTAACCACAACACCTGTTTCCTGAGTTGCTGCTGGTTCTTCAGATGGAGTAACCATCGACGTCTCCTCCTCTGCTATTTGAGAAGTCTCCTGCGGTGTCTCTTCAGCAGATTTCGACTGCAAAAAAAAACACATAGTTATACTAGTGTTACCAAATACTACTTTTTATTTTCTAATCTCAAATCAAAGTGTTACCTTCTCCTCTTCATCTGTAACCACAACACATGTTTCCTGAGTTGCTGCTGGTTCTTCAGATGGAGTAACCATCGACGTCTCCTCCTCTGCTATTTGAGAAGTCTCCTGCGGTGTCTCTTCAGCAGATTTCGACTGCAAAGAAAAAATACATAGTTATACTAGTGTTACCAAATACTACTTTTTATTTTCTAATCTCAAATGAAAGTGTTACCTTCTCCTCTTCATCCATAACCACAACACCTGTTTCCAGAGTTGCTGCTGGTTCTGCAAACAGAGTAGTTATCGACGTCTCCTCCTCTGCTATTTGAGAAGTCTCCTGCGTTTTCCCTTCAGCAGATTTCGCCTGCAAAGCAAAGACACATAGTTATACCAGTGTTAGCAAATACTACTTTTTGTTTTCTAATCTCAAATCAAAGTGTTACCTTCTCCTTGCCTAAGGCTTCTCCAACTTGAGATTTCTCCACCACTTTTTCAGGTTCATTATACTGGTAATCCATGTCTTCAAACAACCTCCTCCCCTCTAATTGTTCCTTCACATATCCTTCCACTGCTACAAGTCTTGTGCTAAATTCTCCAATCTTCTCCTTGATCTCTTTGAATCCTTTGTCCATCACAAGCTCCAGCCTAACTACCATACTAATAGTGGCTGCATTCTCCCCATGGATGAACTTGGCCAGATTCTCCTCATACTCGAACACGGATTTCTTCTTCTCATCCATGAACTTGGTTACATTGTCCTCGTTCTTTACCTCCAGCGGTTCCACATGCTCCTCACCTTCCTCTTCTTCTCGGAAAGCCATGTCATCATTGTACATTTTCTGAAAACAAATCGCTTTGTCTTTAGAGATAAGCTTCATCCAACCATCAACGACGACATCATATACATCCTCCTCATCTCCATCTTCCAATATTCCATCTACAAGAGATTGCTCTTGAGCAGATGGGACTAACACACTATGAATATCCTGTAAGTACAATAAAGTTTATATTTCTAGTGTAGATTAAACATAAATCATCAATTTGCAAACGATAGCTAAGTTTGAATTTCTAACCTTAGTTGTACCAAGTGCTTCATATATTTCTGAAAGAGGAAATCCTTTCATAGCATATGACTTGAACTTGCTCTTACACATGCGAGGGCAGCTCTTCTCTGCGCCTCTATGGTCTTCTCGAAAAGTCTTCTTCAACACTGGAATTGCCTCAAAGGCTAGCATCTGCACATAATATATATAATTCGATACTTAGACAATATCTCTCAATTAATAACTTGGAATAAGCGAATAAAGGTGCAATGAATAATCTTTACCTCCAAAGAAGTAAAAAAACTTGGAAACTTGCATGTTCTATCGACGATCCCTTTATAATCAACCATTGCTTTCTGGATATCTTTCAAATTCTCATCAAACGAGAATCTCCCCCCAAGGAAAAGTCTTACAGAGCTCAAGATCATCCACAGCTCCTATGAAGAACTTCTCAACCGAGGGTGCCCCCGCTCCAGTTTTTTCCTTCCCTACTATGACGCTACATAGGAAGTACAACACACACATCTTCAACCTATCTGGATGTGGTTTCTTCATCTTCAACAGCTTTATATGCACTTTTGCATAAGTGATTGTTGTTCCTCTGCCAAACTGTCTTTCAGCGAATTTCATACCCCCCAGGTTGCTATAATTTTCTGGATAGATATGACAATCTAATCCAGAAATCAGAGCGTGTTCTTTGAGAGAATACCTAATTGGGATGCCATTCACAATGAACCAAGCCTCCCTTCTCTTCTCAACTTCAGCCGTTTGAAGCAGGAGCATCCACATGCCCATAACCTTGTGGTTTGAGTCGTCATACATATGGAAGAAATGTTTAAATTGTGGGTGGTTGTGAAACCAATTCCTCTCTTCAATGGTAAGATTCAAAGAATTTATCGTATTAACCGCCTTGTAAATGTAACACCTGGTCGATATCTTCACATGTTTCTTGTACTCAGTCGGATTAAAGTACATCCGCATAGCTTGCATTGGTTCCGTTTCAATCGAATCCTGCAACTGATTCAAGTATTACCAAGTGTTATTTTTATTTTTAGAAATACTATGACTTTAAAAAAGTTTTACAAAGTACTACATACTTGTTTAAACAATAATTCATCTAACTACATACCGTAGGGTTCTCCTCATCATCAGAGTTCGTCAAGGTTCTGACGAATCCGGTTCTGAGGCTGCTTCCTTCGCCAAGATTCTGATGCTGCTTCCTTCTTGTTCTTGACGGATCCACACTAACTCCTACAATCACACAAGAAGTTCGTAACTATTAAGGCATCAATAGACACAAGTCGATGGGTAAATAAAATCGGACTCCAGTATAACATCAAGAAAACGATAATAAAAATTATTGAATTGTAAAAGAAAATCCAGTTTATATATTTCCTTAATTCATGTCTCTTCTCGATCAACATATTAGAGGGGAAATAATAGAGAAATTCTGGAATTCAACATACCTTTAGACGCCATTGTTACCTCGCTTGGAATTCAGCGAAAGAGGAGAGTGAGAGTTGAAGAATTCATAGAGTAAAGTGATTAAGGGGGGAAGAGAAGAGGAGGAGAAGGAATTCGGAGAAGAAAGAGGAGGAAGATGATACGAAATTGGAAAATATAAAGACGAATGGAACTGATTTAGCAAGGATTTCGTGTCTGTTCACTTTGCACCTGATGGTTTGAACTGAAAACTGAAAAGAAAGTGAAAGATTTTAAGGTTTTAATCGATCCAAGTTGATTTCGGGTTCGGATCTTTTGTGGGATGGGTTAGATCCAAGTTCAATGGTTGAGTCTGTAATTATTGAAATTGAAAAGGAGAGAAGAATAAATCAATAAAAATTGGCATTAAAATAATTAGATAAATATATGAGTTTTATAACGAGGATAATTGGGATCTACGCTCGCCGTCTAATCCTCTGCGCTAAGCCACACATAAAGTCCTATGCACGCTTTCCCTCAGCCGTCAATCCTTCCATCTTCTCCAATCTCCACCGTCCAACTAAAAACTCCAAAATGTCCGCGTAATCATCCGCCGTGTACACCTCGAGCCGTTGTGCCACGGCGGAGAAATGTTCGAAGAGCATCGGGTCTGTCTATCGGTCATCAGATGCGCCGACATTGTGATCTTTTTCCGCATCATGTCGGCGACAGCGGAGATTGCGCCGTTTGGGTCGATTTCGAGTAGCTTCTCAACTATGTGTACATGTTCTCGTGGGGCTTCTCGTCTGCGGCAATGGTGCCACAAATTCGAGCGAGGACTGGATCTCCGGCGTCTTTGGCAAGCCGTGCGGTGTTGCCATGAGACACGAAGGTGGCTCGCTCTTGGAACGATGTGTAGACAAAACCCAAGTACGGGTTGTTCTCTGTTCCTGGATCCTAAAATTGACAAAATGACGTCGTTAGTTCATTGATTTTGTAATGAAATGTTTATTGATGGATAAATCAACCTGAATCAATCAAACTTTTTGACCAAAAAAAAAAAAAATCAATCAAACTTAAGCCAAACTAAATATAATATTAAATTTATGCTGCCAATAATTTTTGAAGTTATATTAGTTCAATGTCCAAACCGAATTCAAACAAATAACGAAAAAATATTGTACCATACCGAGTAGACACAAAAACACATGACAGGAATGTTTTGGTTTTATTGAAAAAAAAATGCAAAAACTTAACCAAATCAAATCAAAATTAAACCAAATTACAAATATTATTTGGTTAAAGTTTGGACAAAACCAAAAAGAAAAAAAAATCAAACCATAAACATGATACACCTATACGAAAAAGTATCGAATTACCGAAATCAAAGAGGTACATTTGATTAATCAAAACCCAACCAGTAATCGGTCCTTTTCACAAATCATATACATATATTAAAAAAAAACTAAATAAAACTGATTAAATACCAAAATTAATAAATAAAAACTGACCATCCCGGAGCTGATGAGATGCTGGATGGTACGTTCGACAATAAGCATATCTACCCGACCAGATAAGTACAAGTAAGTCCGCAACAAATCACCATGACGGTTCTCCTCTGCCGTCCAAGCGCGTGTCCACTTGGCCCACGCGCTCTCACTCACTCCAGTCTCGTCCCTTACACCATCGAGGGTGTTGATCATGGTTTGGTAAGTCGGCAAAGCGTCCTCTGTTATCATATCTCCAACCAATACCACAAAGTATTCGTCTGGCAAAGAGGCCGTTCTTTCTCTTAGCTCACGCACTTACGATTATAAACATTTTAGCATCTTTCATTCATTTGTTTAACCTTTTTTATAATCTAATTTAAAAATAGAATTTTAAAACACCTTATATATACAAGATTGATTACATAATCACTGATAAACATAATCAATGTAACCAAAAAGCGAAACTATGATGCTTTACGAGTGTAAGTGGTTATGATCTAATGGAATATAATAAATAATAAATTTAATTAGAGAAGAAAAAAGTGGGATGAGGAATGTAATAAGATCAGATATTTGGTAATTAGCTAATTAATAGAACCTCTAATGTTTTTGAAATGGAATAATTTTTCATTGGATTTTATTTTTCCTCTATCAATCCAATGAGATAAATGGAATGATTTATTTATTTACTGATTTTTTTTATATTGTAACTGGTAATAGTTTTATGGGATTTTATAGAATCTTCTATCCCACGATTTTATTGATAAAAATAGATATTCAGTTACGACTATATTTTTAATTATTAGTTGTTTTTAATTCATTGATCAAACAAAAAATTGCTTTTTTAATTCATACGTACCTGGTTGGTGAACTCGGAGAATGGTGAGCCCGGGTTGGGTAAGAAGGAAGCGGGTTGCCAACATTGGTCGACTGGCTTCAGAAGAGGAAGGATTTGATCGGTGGCCCATCCGTCTAACGATTTGAAAACCTCAATTTTCTCCGGTGGCATTGAGTGGATTTTGTTATGGTGTTTCAATGCGGGTCTCACTGGTGCTGCCACCGTCGAAATCTTTGTCGGCCGGTGGAATCGAGAGGTGAGAAAGGTAGATGGAGATGGTGTTAGTGTGGCCCATTGGGTGGTGTGGGAGAGAAGAGTTTTGTGCGTATTCATTTGGATGATGGAGGAGAGAAAGACTTTTAGTTTGAGTTCATTGAGACTTGAGAGTGACGCCCACTGTTGAGTTTGGACTAAATATTAAGGAGTCTTAAGGGTTTAACAGTAACTTTGTAGTTGGTAAGTATTTGTTAGACAAACCATGGGGTGAAACGAGTGCAAACTGGTTTGAGATTCTGTGGGTTTGGTTTAAAAGTTTAAATTTATTTTATTAATTTTTTTTTGAACATTTGCTTGAATTGATTGCATATACAAAAATAAGACGAGAGTTTAGTTTATTGCATTAAGATAAAATTATATATATAATTAGCCAAATCTTTTTCCATCTGAGGTATCCAAATCAGCATTTTTCTATTTTCAAAATGAGTTTCTAAATATTTTGATCTTTTCTACATATGCTTTTATATATTTTGGTTATTCATTTATATTAATTTAAAATAAATATATATATATTTAACATACCATAAAATTATAAATTTTCAATTTGTGAAAAAGAGTTTGAAAGGCAATCAAATACTAAAAATGACAAAAAACATTTACAAAGAATAGTTATCAATAAAATCATTCATAAAACACAAATACTTATTTAACAAACCATAAAATCTAGAAATTCTCTACGAAAAAAAAAAAAATTCAAAATGTTATTTGGAATATAAACAAAGAGAATGTGAAAAAAAAAAGTTGGAAGTGAAAAATTACGAAAGATGACGGAATAATTTGCGGAGAATAGTTATCAAACTTAAAAAAAGCTCAGAAATATTAATGCATAAAACTAAAGTAAAATCATTTATATATTTGATCCAACAGGAGATAAGGCAATAGGTTTTTTTTACTCATCCATCGGTCGGCGTCGGCTCCGACGTTGGCTGTACTTTTGTTTTTGTTTTTCTTCTGTTTGTTTGTATCTAGTTTATTTTTCAAATAAAACCAAGTTTATGATTTTTCAATTTTGAAATCTCATTTTCTTTCTCTCTTTTCAAAAGAGTTTATTTCCAACCATAATCTGACAATTGTGTAAGAATATTTGTGTTGGTTTCTCTCTATTTGGGATTTTCCCAATTGGTTTCTCTCCATTTGGGATATTTCGGATTGGTTTCCATTGTTTCATTTTTGAAACGGTTCATAAAAGGATTTCAAACACAAATTTGGAATCCAGGATTAACCAATTTGAATTCTAACCATCTGCTTTTGATACAGAGACAAAACATTTCAAAAAGATCTTGGTATGAAAGTATTGATACCATTGAATCTATTCTTCAGAATTTATTTTGGATATATTAGGTTTCCAGATGTCATTTGTAAGAAGAAAATACAGCCATGTGATGTTGCATACAAATCGCTTCAGAAAAAGATCAAATATGAAGTTGAACAATAATATATCTTCTGATCGGTTAGCGGAATGCATCGTCCAACTCCCTTTTGATGTATTTTTCTCAGTGTAAAAATTTGTAATCCAGTTTTACTGTATACTGTCTTTGAAATCACTCTTTAAATTAATAGAAATAATTTGTTTGTGGAAAAAAAATCATTTATATATACTTTTACTGTATAAAGTGAATGAAGGTCTTTTCAAAAATAAAGAAAGCTAAAGTGTTTAAATTATATAGTATAGAAATGAACTTGATTTATACGAAGAAGAAAAAAAAAACGTAAATACTTATCAACCATATTTTCTTAAAGCTGATATTCGATGACTTTACTTATGGCCAGATAATATATGAGTTTTAATATAAAGTATATAAATAATCTAAAACAAGATTATTGATTATATTTTTTAACATAGCCAGGCCGTTTCCCTCCACATGACATGAAAATAGACAAAAATATCTCCACACACATTCATAAATATAGTCATATAGTTCATCATCATTAGATTGATGAACACATCAGAATTGCTTCACGGAAGAAGAAAATTTCCTCATATCAATTAAAATCAATAATATATCAAGTAAGCACAATTTTTTGATATAAAAACCTATCAAACATACGTAATATATGAACAGATCTCTTATTTTATCTCGTCAACTCTAACTATAATTTCTCTCATTTAGAGATACGATCAATCACAGAACTGAATGAAACAGAAACTTGCATGAAATAAGAGAAAATATCAATAGATTGTAATCAGAATAATAAGACTATGGGCAATAGAAAAAGGATAAGATTATTTAAATTAAATTAATAAATAAGTCCACACAATGCGCAAATCAAAATCTAGTTAAGTAAATAACAGAAAAATATAATTTTTAATCTTAAATGTCTTTTTTACTTACTTTTGGTTTGAAAATTCTGTTAGTGACAGTAAAGTTCCAAAAACACTATTCACCTCTAATTTAACAATACTGTTCACCAACTCCGACAACATCGTTTAACCAATTTAAAATTGTTTCTACCTGATCAACTTGGTAAAAGTTAATATATTATTAAAAATATTATGTTAAACTAGTAATAATATAATAATATCATATTATAAGTTATTATGTTTATTGAATGATAAAAATCATAAAAATACAAAATATCTAAATAGAAAACCATTGTATTAACTTAATTATCATATAATATAAAATATAACTTATTAGTTAATTAACTTTGTTAACTTATCAAAATTATACAAAATTATATTGTTAACCACTAAATTAGTTTTGTTATTAGTTAATATTATGGGATGTTTCCACGCTACATGTAGATTTTATGTGATTTATTTTGTTTTATTTTTTTGAAAAATTATAATCTTTAAAATTATAATAAATATTCAATTATTAATTAACTGATATAGATTTTCTTAGATTTTATATTATTTTAAAAATAAAGTACCATTTGTTCATATATTTTTAAAAACATATATTACTTTATTAAAGTGTGCATAGAGTATTTTTCGATCACTCTTAGTAACTTTTCTATCCTTGTAAGTAAAATCTGAAGGAACATTTTACAAACCAAGTCATAGCATAAAAAAAGACCAAAACATTAGAAATGTAATGTGATCTTAACAGATATTGATAATGTTCAAAAAAGTCATCTAAAATTGGTTGAGACTTATTATATTATCCAGATAAAAAAAAGACATATATTTGTTCAGACTTCCAATGCAAATTGACATTTATTCCATATTTAAAGTCATCTTCCGTAGATTAAAATACAACAGACTAATCAATGATACAATATTGAGGATAACATTAACAATGGAGCTGAGGATCAAAGGACATAATGGTCTAGCCAAGGATAAAGGAGAGACAATCTCCCTTGGAAAACATGTCATGAATAAAGAAGAGACTATCTTTCGTGATTTGTTCCTTCTAGACCTCAATCCCTCCATGCATTCAAATTCAACCAAGGCGTGTAGAGCATACACAACTCACCTAGAGTTCACCACGAAGAAGAATCAGCCAAAAAGGATTTCCTATGAAGAAGTTATTGAAGATACAATTTGACGGATCTTCAATAAGCTCGATGAAGACATACCATCACTTATCGAGTCATTCCGTACGAACCAGGATGAACCAAGCAACAAATTCAACTGTTTTGGATTTTAAACACATCAGAGACGCGCGAAGAATTGGATTCGGTCCAAAATTATTTGATACGAAGGAGATATTCAAGTTCAAAGTCGGGTAAACCGAAACCTTCCCGAATCGGATATGCGAGCGGTTATTAGAGGTTTCCCACTGAACCAGGAGGATTTAAGCTACGAATCAAATTGGAATGGAATCTTGACTCAACCGTGGTACTGATCAAATTGGATTCATTCCAATATCTATTTTGGTTTGAAAGTTATTAAGGAGGTGTTATTGGTTCTTGTATTTTAATGGATTTGAGAATCTAAACCAAATTTAGTGTTATTGGTTCATGTATTTTAAAATTTATATTGAAATACAGTGTTATTGGTTCTATGATTTTAAAATCCATAATGAAATACAGTGTTATTGGTTCATCATTTTAGAATCTAAATATTATAAAGATTTGAGTTTTAATTGAATTTGAATGGATTTGGAAGGATTTTCATGACTAAAATACAAAAACCCAAATACAAGGTCTAACATTGGTATTTGAGTGGATTTGATTTTTTTCCATTTTG